GTGATGATGATGATGATGATGATGATGATGATGATGATGATGATGATGATGATGATGATGATGATGATGATGGTGAAAATGATTCGTCTTGTATCTGTTTATTAAGTATCCTCATCTGTATTTTGGGATATCTCATCACCATCCTCCTCATTTTTCCTCTTCTGAACGGGATAAATATACCAAATTGATGTTCCAGAGGCAATTAAACACTACAATGGGGACTTTCGTAGCCTTGAGGTTCAGATGTTCACCTCTCATCATCAGTCGGTCCCGGGTTCGGATCCAGATAGTGACAGAACTTTTTCTTCTCTAAATTTGTCTCCTTTCACCCCCTTTTCTAATCTTTAGCAATGTTCTGTCGTTTTCTTTCGCCTCCACTTTCTGCCCCCACCCCCTCACCTCCTTTGCCATCTCATCTGGGCTCCTGACTCTTTCTGCAGTCTTTCTGCTGCTACTCCTTGGCTCCTTCTTACTGCTGTCTTTCAGCCACACCCCTGATCCTATGGTAGGAAAGATCTATACCTAGCTTTCACGGATATGGGTGAAAAATCTCGTAGGTCCCGTGTGCACGTTACGCAGGTTATCAATTCCTTGGTGGGTCAAAATCAGAGTAGGCTTATGTCGCCACCTGAGCAAAATTCAAAATTTCCTACCCGCTGAAAATGTTTAATATGTCCCGCGCGCTCATATGACCTAATCAGTTACGAGTGCTGTAAAACACTAACCAAAACACCCCACAAAAACCACTAAAATAACCCGTGAGGCTTCTCGTATCACTGGCGCATGAAATGTTGTTTTATGATTGAGTGTTTCCGTTTATGCAATCGTGAATCCAACCCTGACAGGTAGGTCGATGCAGCCCGCCCCCTAAATGATCTGAAATGTGTTAATGGATGCGCACAACACTCAAATTACTCACGATCACAACTACTTTTGTATTTTAAGTGACCCCAGGGTACCGATTAATGAGGCTATGTGGAGACGGAGAAAATGAAGAGACGTTTCGAGGTAAAAATTTCGAATCCCTACTCTTAACATAGTTTTCAAATCAGCTTCTCACTTAAAATTAGAGCGTCCTAAATGCAGCCCCCACAGGGAGTGGAAAACCCCAGATGTGCTTACTAGGTCACTAAGTAACCCCGTTTTTATTTCTTGCTTCGAAGTAGTTATCCATCTTGAAGTTAGTGCAGTGTACCGTAGTGTAGTTTACCATACAACTTATAATTTTTTTTCTTCTACTGCAGATCAACCTCCCTCTCAAGGCAGGTCGAGCATAGTTGAAGGATCTTTCGGCCGCTTTGCTGATGAATGTGAGAGCGCTAGTGTTGTTTGTTGTACCCAACACACGAGGCACATAAACTAACACACACACCCCCACACACACGCAAACGTACGCACACACACACGACACCCACCCACACATGAACATGCACACATACATACACGCATACACACATACAAACACACATACACACACACACACACACACAACGGTACACAACAATATATAAT